TACTGAAACCTTTAATAACTTAATTCGAGAGTTATTAGTCAAAATGCTGCACTATATCATGCGAGCGTGATTCAATTATATTGCGCTATAGAATATCGATCCCACACCCTCTCTTCTTTGAAATCGGACCTCGAAAAGACGGTCATTTATTAGCCAGTGTAACATATAATAGTAGGTCGAAATTAACTAGAATATTTCGCAAAACAAGACCATCGATCAATTAAACCAACCACAGAATCCAGAATAGGAGTGTGATAAACATTTTGTAAGCTGAGATATAGAATAGCCTTAAATTCTGGCCATAGGTAGACAGGGGAGATAGTTACACACCTCTATTTAATCATTCAAAGTCTCTTTCCTTTTCTTATCACTCATGATGCAAGCCTCACCATAGAACGTGACAAGCGAGCTACTCGATTTAACATATATCAAGCACAGGCGCCGTTTCCTTTACAAGTCAAATTTCCCGAAAAGACAGCTACGCAACACGATGGTACTGAAAGTTCACTCAAACGCCAAGAAATTCCTGCAGCAGGGCTAAGTCGATCTCGTAAGATTTTAAAGAGCCCCTCTAGTTCAATTATAGAATCGGAGGGACTAGGCCCGGCTATATACAATAGCTCGCCATAGGACACCTACAAACTCATTTTCACATATGATCTTGCTAGTAAAGTATATATCAGTGAGTACCGTCGCCAAGACTCCCAGTTAGACTGCGGCAACATCCTCAATATCCACGGACATCCGCATATCCTCTCCGCAAATTGCGGATATGGTATGTCACGTAATATCCGCAATCCTCAATTTTGCGGATATGGTATACCACCTAATATCCTCTGGATATTTGAGGATATCCAATGGATATCAAACCAGCCAAACACGCCTAGCCTCGTGACTTTTTTGAGCGTGTATAAATTATGCGGTTTCTTGTGTATTTTTGAAGTAATCTTCGTGTAATCATCATTTTAAAGATTTCAATCTGGTAAACATGATTCTGTCATTTCTAATCAATACTTAATACTAACTACCTTAAATCAATCTGAAATCCATCAGGTAACCTAGGTTGCTTCCGAATTCGCCCCGACCGTCCCTGCATGCCCTCATCTATTGGCATTTCTGGAAGGTCATCGTCATCGTCATCAAAACAGTCGGATGATCGTTTCTTTGATCGTTTGCGCTGCAGTTGCTTACTTTGATCATTATTCTTCCCACTACCCAAATCATCATCGCAGCTCTCTATCTGTTGTGTATCCTCTATGCTAGGCTCTTGATCCTCCTCTTCGTTATCACTAATTGGCTCAAGTGTTTCAAGCTGGGGCATTGGTTTCCAAGCTTGATCTAACAACGCAGCTTCTCCAATGGATAGATACTCTTTGATAACCTCTATCTCCTTCTGCTCAACGTCAAAGTTAGTGGCGAATTGATGAAGCATCAGTCCTCGGATGGTACTTGGTTTCAATTGCCCGCGACGATAGTGGCACATATCGCGAGCGCAATTAAATAATCGCTCAACGCCTGCGCCACTAGCTGGGATTGAGAGATTATCCCGTGCTATCCTCGCAAGAATAGGAAACTCATGCTCATGGTCTTTCCAGAATGCTCTAGGCTTCTGACCCTCGATCCCGCGGGCAAGATACCTCGCAATCTCATCATCTTCGGGCTTTGAGAGCCTATGCTGTGGCTGGCTCTGAGAAGCACAAGCAGCATCAAGATCACCATAATCATCATCCAGGGCCTCTTTAGTGGTATCTTGTAAGACTGTATTGTTTGAATCATGGTGAAGTGTCTCTTTATATCGATCAAACTCTCGCTTAAGAACTCCATGAAAGTGATCAACATAGTTAATTTCACCTTGCCAGTCTGATGATGCAAAATATCGAAGTTTTTTTGATGGGCAAAGGATTGTCGCGAGTGCATAGACATCACCATATGATTCATAATCGGTCGCAGTGTAGTACTTTGAGAGCTTCCGTTTAGCAGTCTGAAGAGCTTCGAGCATGTGCTTCTTCCAGACAACACCTTTATTCTTCAACTTACTCTCAGCTTCATCAAGATGAGAGAAAAGCTTGTTGTAAATACTATAGATGTTATGTGTAGTAACATCCTTAGTCTTAGACAACATATTTGTGAAGTCGAAGAAAGGCTTTGTGAGAAGAAGAAGGTATTCAATCTGTCGCCACTCTTCTTGATCAAGTTTGAAGTGAAGATACTGATGGTCTATACAATACTGATCATAGAATGGTTGTAGCCTTTTGGCCCGATTCAGCATGATAAAGGTCGAGTTCCATCGGGTTTGGACATCTTGAACAGGAACTAAACGAGGCTCCTTAGTTTGTAGAGCCATAAATGCCTCCCGGCGTTGTGGGCTTGCATTGATGAAGACCGCAAGACCTCGGATCTAAAACTCTTTTATCAGAATAAACTACAAGCCTTAGGGAGATAGAACTTGCCTTCTTTAAGGTATCTGCAATTTGCCGAGTTGAGCTAGATCTTTTGGTCTGAAATGAATGGGTCCGCTCATCAGACCACTCTAGTTCAATCTCTTTGTTAGGTGGTGTCACCTTTAGCTTCCCAAGAAGCTCATTCAAGCTTAATTGAATCACATGCGCAATACATGGAACTCGGAAAATCAAGGTATCTGATTGGCTTTGCGACTGGATAGTCTCTTGGATGTTCATCATCAAGGTATTGTTATTCGTTGCATTATCTGTTGTCACAGATAACACACGATCAGTGATTCCATGATCAGTTAGAAGCTGGATTACGGTCTTGCTCAGATTTTCACCAGTATGAGATCCATGAAGATGCTCAAACCCAAGAAGAACTTCACAGTAATTCCAGTCCTGATCAAGGAAGTAACCTGTGATGGCCATGAAAGCTTGCTGAAATGGCGATGTCCAGCAATCAAGCGCTAGTGAGAGGCGACTCCCATCTGGAAGCCTTTTCAGAACCCCCTTCTGGTCACTTCTGACTGCAGAATCAAGATAACGTCGTATGCTTCGCGCGGATGGTATATCGATCTTGCTGTGGGCTTGTTGAATAATCTCTACTAGATCTTTGAATTGGGTGTGTTCAACGATTCGGAAGGGTAGGTGAGCTGTAGAAATGAAGTCTAGTATCGCTTTCACCAGACGCTCCTGGGAGAAGGGTTGGTGTCTAGGGATAGTTGGCTTTGGGATAGTTATTAAGATTAGCAAGAGAGATATTAGGGGTCTTGATGAAAGAGAAATATACCATATGTTTGAGTAGCTGATCGATCCTCTGGGTAACTGGCTTCCGAGTACAAGTGCCTGCCTTAATATGTGCATTCATTGGCGATGACCCAGCACGGCGATAGCTTGGATGAACAAGGGTACAGAGACATGATGTACACATAACCTTTGGCTTGCCAGTCTTCTCATGTGCAACCTGATTGAAATTATCCCAGACACTTGATGTCTTTTTCCCATCCCAACGGATCGAGTCTTGTATTTCGGGCGCTGATCCAGACTCTGTATTTAGCCACCACGTTATAAAGCGCTTACGAGATCCATCCATCTCGCTACCAGGCTCGGAGGAATAAAGGACCCAGTACTGTTGAAGAGGGAGGCCAACACGCGTAAGCGAGAGGGGCGCAATCGGAAATGAAATTCGGGACGTGGATGTCAATGAAGCCTGACTGCCAATGAGCTCAGAGATATCATCTGAATAAAGGAGGTCGGTATTCAGACCTAGATCTGAATCGGCGCAGAAGGAAAATTGGGACTGAGATGCCTGTGAGTAAGACATATTGTACTTGATCACTATACAAGAGAAAGAAAGGGAGAAACGTACATATAGGACGAGCTGAAAATATCAGGGTTATGGCAATAAGCTGCAACTCGTAAGTTGCGGGGTGCGTTTTCGACATATCTCTTACTTTTAATGACGATGATTGGCTATTACTAATCACCAGTGAGGATAATTGAGGATAATTGAGGATATATCGCGGATATCCGCATGGATATCCTTGGATATCCTCGACCTTACTATCATACTCACTAAGTCCGCTGTCCACAACATTAGAGCTTCCGACCGGTATTTCTTAGAAGGATATATTTAAAAACTTAATATACTTAAAAGATAGGCTTAGGAAACTAATTTAAAGCTAGGCTAGTTAAATTTGACCAAGAAATGGTGAGTTTAGTCATATGTACATCGTTTAGCTAAAAGATCCTACACTACTGCCTTGAGTAAATATATATTTCCATGGTAAAGTAAAGTGGAATTACAAAAAATCATGTATATCCCCCAATCTACTTCAAAAATCAAATTGCTGCTATAAGTAATAATAAAATGAATATAAATTGCTTAATACAAATATATTTCTTAATATTTCATGAGGAATTAGGATAAATAAGGCTAGTAGTATGGTCAGGACCAAACCTGTGTATCTTTTGTTCTGAAAAATAAATTAATCAGCTGGATAAGAGGCACATGACTACCCCTAAGTAGATAATCAGGCGAGAGTTATGCTAGTGCGGATATCCGCAAAATATCCTCATATCCTCGCGGATATCCATGGATATCCTCATTGAGGATATGGTATGGAAGTAATATCCATTATCCTCAATTTGCGGATATGGTATTGAACCTGATATCCAGCGGAGAGGATATGCCGCAGTCTAAGTATATTATAATTACCCCTATAAGTTAGGGTGCTTAAAAGATAAATTAGAAATATATTGAATTTTCAGCTTTATACAGGCCTAGAAGATAATTACAATATACTCGAATACTTTTAATGAAATATACTATTACCTACTTCTTTTTCCCTATACTAAAGAATCCCACCCTAATTATAATACAGTACATTATAATTACCCCTATAGGTTAGAAACCAGTCGGAAACGGACTCGTACCTGATATTCTCAGATGGAAATGGTGACTTTTTGTTGAGTACTTCAGACCGCTCTTTCTATACTCTTTTTGTTGTTTATCGTTTTGTTCTTTTATCATATACAGCGCCCAGATCAATCAGCTCATATTTTACTCGCCCTCTTCTTTCTCGCATCAGACACCAGACGAGCCGGAAGGTGCGCTCTCATAATCTTGCCCGTGGCATTTTTGGGCAATTCTGCCAAGTAGAACAGCCCACCTCGAAGTTTCTTCGGAGATGATACAACGTCGTCGACACTTTTCTTAATTTTTTCCAACAAGTGGTCACGGTCACTAAAGGCCACGGAGTCACGGAGCTTGACGTATCCCACTGGAATATCAGTCTGTTGCGATTCGTCAAAGTAGCCGCAGACAGCCGCTTCGAGAACGTCTCCATGAGCTGCCAGAAGATTTTCGAGCTCGGCGGGAGCCACCAAGTTTCTGTAATATGGGCATTAACAATAATGAAGGAGACTTGACTAACGCCTCTGCTTACCCTTTATACTTGATCATCTCTTTTTGACGATCATGGAACCAGAGAAAGCCGTCCGAATCCATGCTCAGGATATCTCCGGTTCGGAACCATCCCTTGTGAAATGCCTCCTGTGTACTAGCCAAATCGTTTTTGTACTCCCTTTTTCCAAGCCAGTCAGCAAATACAGCAAAATTTCATCAGATGTAACCAACATGAAAAGGGTGGGGCCTCGAACGAGTGCCTCTCCAGCGTGGCCGGTTGGCACATCTTGCAACTTTTCATCCACGATGCGCAGTTTACTAAATGAATCAGGGACTTTGAATGCAATATTGTCTTAGCAAGTCAACTTACTTGCCTGGAAACAATCTTCCAACACTTCCAGACTTCTCAGATGAGCGTGCTCCTTTCAAGATTGAAACCCCAATTTCACTCAGACTATGATCAACATCAGCAAATGAGCGACTTTCAAGGAATCGACAGAGGATAGCTTGGAAACATTGCCTCGGTGTTGAAATGGAATATGGCTCACCCATAGCTCTGAATAATAGCGCAACTCTTCATGATCTCCTGAAGTCTCCTCACAATTTGCGCCTGAAGTGTCGCGCCCGTACACAATATATGTCTTACATTGCTGAGATCATGCTGCTCAATGCTGCGATCTTTTGCGATAGCCACTGCTGTGGCAGGAATCATTTTCATTATTGTAACCCGGGCTTTTGCGCAGGCTTGGATATAAGTCTCATAGTGGAAGCGTTCCAGGATTACAGCGTAGCAGCCTAGGAATGCGGGCTTCAAGACTGCGCCGATAAATCCGAGCATGTGGCATACTACCCGATATCCTTGGTTAGTCCCCCGAACGATTCTAGTCAACTTTGAGGGTAAGTGGTCTGACGTACAAGGTGCGTACACTACCTCTCTTTCCAGACAGCTGTTTTGCTCGGGAAGAGTGATTCGAGGCTGTAGGACATGCGCAATGATGCTATAGTGGCTCCAAATTACGGCTTTGGGCTTACCACTTGTACCAGAGCTGAACATGATTGATGCGGGGCATTGTCGATTGTCTTTTCCAGATAGATCAAATGGCGCACATGGTGGGAGGCCCTTTAGAGACTATATTTGTTAGATTTGATTTGAATTTAGGTGATATATTCGATGCATTGGATTCACCATATTCGTGAAAAGCTCATCGAGGTCGAGAACCATCGAATCCACATCCTTGACTCTGGATACGGCTTCTTCCATCTTCATCCGCAATGCGTGATTGGTAATCACGGCCGATGGTCGAGAAATCTTCAGATAATGGACGAGATCCTGAACTGATGTCAAAGCATTCATTCCTCTTTTTCAGGAGAAGATATAATGTTCCGTCAGATATTATACAACTGAAATTCAAAAGTAGCACTCACGCGATCACACCCCCAAACCACATCACTGAATGCGCAAGAATTGGATATTGGACAGAATTCGGGGCATAGATGGCGACAGTGTCACCGGTGCTCAATCCCAAAACTGTTGTGAAATATGCGGCCATAGTCGCAGCTTCATTACGTAGCTCGCCATAGGTAACTTGTCTGCCTCCAGGGGATATACCTTCCAAAATAACCTTCGTCTCTGGTACATCCTCAGGGTTATATTTCTGAAGCAATTGAGACAAAGAAAGATCGGGTGGAACATGGAAGTCCGGATGAATTGATTCGTAAATCTGAGAATCCATGATGTCCGATGAGCAAATATGAGAAGGGTTTGTGAGATCTAGTGGCATTTTAGGATTCTGAAATCTCCCTAGACCGCCTTGATAAAAAAATTGACGATCGTGGAACTGAGGTATCATTGTATTATGGAAGTTTCGCAGATCAAAACGTCGTTCCATTCGGTAATGGTACTGATTTGTTACGGTACGGACTAGTGCTGTTGGGGACCTGGGAAATATCAGGTATGACACAACGAATACAACCTATTTTACTTCCGCCTCTTCTGCCCTGCTATGTTTCATGAATCTTTCATGTCTGTACCATAAAGCATCAGAGCCCACCGCTTGATCTGGTACATCGCTAAACACGAAGTCTTGATTGTTTTGAGGGTTCATTGATAGATACAATCATCATCAAAAGGCTAACTGGGGACACTCCTATCCACAAAGCTCATCACTTTATTACCCGTCGAGCTGCGGACAAAATCGTCACCGTGTCCTACAAATTTCACCTTGAACAGGTGTTCGCTGTTTGCCACAACAACAAAGAGAGCTTTCAGCTTGTCGATCAAATGTGCCTCGGATATCTGATTGGCCGTCACAACGGTGGAGCGCAATACACGAACCTCCAAGATGACCTCCGGAGACGGTTCTTTTACACTCAAGATCAACTGCCACTGCAACACACCCCATTCTGCTGTGCCCATGATCTCCCTGATAGTGCGGAATTCGAAGTACCTCCCCACCCACTTGAAACTGAACCGTTTATCGCGTCCCCGCATCCGGATCATTCGCAGGTGCTGAGATTCTTTCACAGGTATGGCGGCCTTTGCAGCGGCAGGCAATGGGTGAATTGATCCCACATCACCAGTTATATAGCGTACAAGCGGGTTTCTCAAGCGCTGCAGGGAAGTTTGAACAATAACACCCACGCTTCCCTCTGGAAGCTCAATCAAATCCTCAGAAGACCCTCTAGGTGATTCTGTGGCTTCCAGAGGAAGGATCTCGATGATCATCGTGCGCGTATCATAGATGAACTCCACTGCATCATCATCTGGCTCGCCGGTAAGTGCCAAATTGGCAACTGCCCAGGGTCCAGCCTCAGAACTACCTAGCACAGAACAGATCTTCAGGGGACCAAGAACAGACCGAATGAAATCCCGCTGGGGTCGACCGAGCGCTTCTGAGGTATATATTATCTTGTCGATTTTCAGCGCATTACGCTGTTCCTCGGTCGCGGATGAGGCAATATAATTCAGGATCTGCAAGATCTGACTACTTCCTCCACTAAGAACGTTCACTCTGTATTTGATGAGCGCGTCAACGACATTGGCAACGGGAGTTGTATGTCCGGCTGCAAGAACACTTCCACCTGCATTTTCGAACATCTCCGACAAGAGATCAAGAGACCGGTAAAAGCCTCCTGTAACGTGCACTGTCAAGATCCAATCCCGAGGGTCTACCAGTCCGCATGTTTTTAGGAATCTGCCAGCGGTGTATCGGTGCTTCCGATTCTCGGTTGTATCCGTCAAGAAGAGCATTGGCACGCCTCCAGATCCTCCGCCGGTAATGCTGCTGTAAACACTTCGTCGGAAGTCATTTTGCGGGCAATCATCCGCGGAGAGGCGCTGGATTACAGTATATCTATGATCCAAAGTTAAATCAATTAGTCATTTTTATCATCCCGAGGTCATGATATTGGGTATCACCGGGTTTTGTATCTTACAGATCTTCTTTATGTGTAAGCGGTAGCCTGGTAAGCTCTGGAGCTGCTGTCGCAATAGGATCGATTAGCCCGGCTATTTCTTCGGCATCGGGTGGATATCGAATCTCAGGATTGTAAAACGGATGTTTGGACGCTACAGAGAGAATTTCTCGCAAAGAGTAGTAAGAATCAGGCATGGTGGAAGGTTGCTCGCGGGGATAGTAATGTGAAATTCCTATTGTGTCTACCACAGTCTTGAAATACGTATTTTGCCACCGGAAATTGCCAGATCAGATTTCAGAGAGCTAATGACATGAATCAGGACTTCTTTTCTTCACTTGCCAAGCTCATAAGTCAGCCTGTGGGGCGAGATCGGCTTAAACCTTGCGCCAAGACCAATATTTCGGCGAATGGATCCCTGTGGGACTAGTATTACATTTACAAGGCCGAGAAAACGCATCGGTATTTAATCTTCACGCTAAGATATAACCAAGAAAACATTGTTCAATGGAGAAAAAATGTCTCCCATTTAGTCATAGCTTGGTATTGGCTGACATATATGCAACAATCAATCAATCTCATATTGTTTTGTTGAGAGGGACTGGCTAGTAGTATACGTGTATTGGTAGGCAGGAATGATACTCACAGACGAAGTAGATAGCTATGAATACGAAATATCAGGCCACCGTTTGTCAGACGCTGATTGGTCCGAGACTCTATAAGTATCAACACCCGAATTGTCCAGCTTCAGTCCTATTTTATGAGCCATCAGGCCCAGGAACCTTACTGAACAGCTTGAATTCAATCGAAATCGACTGAAGACATGCCAAAACTTGCATGTAGGCCATTTTCTTGTCTTCGCAAAGCTTCATCATGGTGTATTCCAAAGATCACAGCTCGTACGTGTTGTACAAAACTTTTTACTGCCCATTCCACAAGGTCTCAGCTTAACGATGATTCACAGGCTTTTCAACTCAGGTTCACGAGATTGAGGCCAGCGAACTAAGAAGCTCCCAAAACTCCAAGCATATTCGTCAAGTTCATGAGATACTCCAGAGCCATGGATTTCTCAAGATAAACTTAAATTTCCCCGATGAGTCAAGCATTTATCTCACGCAATTGATCTCGTCCTTGAGCGCGAGTCATGGCCATGGGCTACCTATTACACATAGCTCAACCCGAGGTTGGTTTTGGGATGTACGACCACAGCCCACGGCAAAAATATCATCACCATCAAGTTCAGATCATCAGATATCGCTACCAGAAATTGTCCCAGCACGCTCTGAGACCGCCGAATCGTTCCCCTGGCATACAGACTGCAGTTATGAAGAATGCCCGCCACAATATTTTGCCCTCCAAATTATCCACGCCGATGCCTGTGGAGGCGGCACTCTTTCTGTACTGGAACTGACACGGCTCCTGCCTTTACTGTCCGCCACGGCGCGAAAATACTTGTCAAGGGCTGAATACCGTATTAACGTCCCACCGGAGTTCATCAAGAAAGGCAATCAAAGTTCCATCATCGGCAGTGTTTTGACCAATACCGGGCGCGGGTTACGTTTCCGTGAAGACATTATCACGCCGCTGACGACAAGCGCGGGCCAAGCGCTTGTGGAGCTGAAAAATGTGCTGCGGAGCCCCGGAGCGATATCGCACACTGTATCTCTTTCGTCAGAATTACTGCCGAGTGGGTCGATTGTTTTGATCGACAATCGACGATGGCTTCATGGAAGGAGCACCGTGTGGGACCCGATGAGACATTTAAGAAGAGTTCGCTGGGACGCCAAACCTTTTGCGGGATAGTGGGTAGCCACAATGAAAGTCGGTGTAGAGAATCATGGTTAATGGAACAGGATTGACTGAACGAGAACAGGCTTGTACGGAGCGGAGCGTTCGTGGGAGGTGGGGATTAACCCCTAAAGTGGAGTAACTAGGCCGTACCCTCGATCGAAGTCTTCCACTTGAACCTCGGGTTCATGGCCACCGGTGTTTGCTGATAGTTCAGCATTCCCCGGTCTCAAGGAAAAAATCTTTTTAGCCAGCTTGCTAGCACAATAGTACAGAGAGATTTTAAACCGTCTATGTACACCTCGTAACGAGATACTAACAAATATGATAAAATAAAAACAACTTCTTTTTCGTTGCCCAGGTATCCATCATTTAACCCCATAACTAAATTAGATTAGAGATAAGATCCTATGGAGATTACATAGCTCATCTTTGACTCCATTCTGATACATTTGGCTTTTCGTTCTCTTTCAAATTCACCCACCCAGCCGAACTGATTTTGCGCCTTTAATATACTTTTTATCTCGGGGTGCATATAAGCAAGAACAAGATGGGAGAAAAAATTCAAAATCGGCTGCGTCAAATATCTCTTGCACTGAGCAGCAACAGCTGCGATGTCTCGGAGTTTCTTGTGTATCCAGTGCAAGCAGAAGAATCCACCAGGAAACAAGAGCGAGAAGTGAATATAAAAAGCCTTGAGGCACCGTGTCCTCAATTTGGGTGGCCACTTGATGCGCATTTACAAAGCTGCCCACATCCCATGCGAATGAACACACAGCACACAAATAGTCTGAAGGAGCTTCACGAAGCGCTGGTGATCGCAATTAACCATATTGTGGAGAGGTGGTGGAAGGACGAAGAGGCGGCATTCCCGACAAGAATGCCATTAGAAGAACATGAGGAGCGTCTTCTACAGGTCAGTTCTCTTCCGCTCGTGGTGCAAGAACCCCGAGATTGACGAACATGGAGAAAAGGTTCGAAAAACTGACTGGTTGTAGTGGATCGATGGGTTGAATAGGGACGAGGCAGAATCTCGTCCATTCAAAACGCACCAAGGCTCTTGGAGACCGGACTTTTTGATTGAGGAGGTTCCTGTGTTAGATGGATCGGAAAAGACGAAGGAGCAATTCCGTATCTGTGAAATCAACGCTCGATTTGCATTCAATGGCTTTCTCATCACTGCGTACGGGCAGGATGGGCTACTGGCTCTGGGGTCTGAAAATAAAGGTTTCTTGGGAGCCGCAAAGTCTGATGAGGTGAGTCATCTAACTTTTGCTACTGTTAATAGTATGATCATAATATCTGTGGTATATATATTAATGCATGGAGATGTAGATCATTGATGGGCTTTTTGAGCTCTTTGATCCTGAGCTTCCATTACACCTTCTCAAAGGTGCAGAAGGGGGTCACGATATTCTCATGTTCCTGGAGTGTGCAGAGCGGCGAACTGGAATTGTTCCCAGAATAATTTCACCGCAAGACCTTCGACTGGTGTCAAATCCATCTTCCAAGACGGGATACAAATTATGCAGCGTGATTGATGTTGAAAAAGCATTGTCGACAAACACAAAGCATCCGAAATCGTCAACCTTCCTCGACGAAACAACAGGCGAAGTTCTAGAAGAAATCAACCAGGTAGCACTTGAACTCCATCAACATGAACTTCGAGTGCTATCGCACCAAATGATTCAACATATTTCGGATCGTTGTTTCAACGATTTCAGATCAGTCTTCTTGGTCCACGATAAGAGAATGTTGGGGATTGTCCACCAGGAATTGGATTCCTTGCTACACAAGTACAATGTTCTCAGCGAGCGCCAAGCCGAAGTCCTTCGCCATGGTATTGTTCAAACCATCCTTCCGGGGTCACCGGAGCTTAGGAGCTTCATCCAGCAAAGTCAAGAGTCGTCATCAATTAAAGACGATTACATCCTCAAGCCTGTGCGAGGAGGCAAGGGAGAAGGAATCCTCTTTGGGGATGATTTATCATCTGGAGAATGGAACGAAAAGCTACAAGGACTTGGAAGCGCAGGGTTGGTCCAGGGCAAGACAACTTACGTGGTACAGCGTCAGGTTCAACAGCCGCTCTACGAAGTCTTGCTGAGAGAAGAAGAAGGCGTCCAGCATAATCGTCTAGTCGGGACATACATGTCAGTGAACGGCAAATACCTCGGGGTTGGATGCTGGCGCAGTGGCCCGGGGAGGGTATGTGCTATCAGCCATGGCGGCGCATGGATGGTTTCTGTTATAGGAGGTAAATGAAAGCAGACTGGTGAAACTGCCCGTCTTCACTCATTTTATATTAGATTTTGCTCTTATCAATATCTTCCTTCAATATGATCTCAAAATCGCTGGGTCCTGCCTTGCCAAATTTGACCAGCATAACACGGTCCTTCACTCCACTCCGATCAGATCCCTCCAACTCAGGCCCTGGTTTATCTAGCCTCACAAGCGCCCGTCCATCAGATAAGACCCTCTCAATTGTGGGTGAAATGCAGATGTGCGTCCAAGGTGGAGATCCAGCGTTCAAGAATTGCTGCAATTTTCGTCGCTGTCGCCTTAGAGCAACTAGAGATTGACGACTGCGGGTCCAGGTATCCAGAAATTGCGATGCCACAGAAAGGAGAAAATGTTGAGGCGGAAGAAGCTTGACTTGCCCCGCCCGGGCTTTCCGCAGCCACTCAGAGGATTCCAGAAATCGAGCGTCGGTGATCTCGACTCCTCCGTCATGGTAGGGATGAATTGGCATTTCTGTGTCTAGACCTTGCTCATGGTCATGCGGAATAGGTAAAAAGTAAAGATACATTTGTGTTGTATACCGATGGGGGACGCCGTATGGTGTGACCCAGCGCGTGAAAGGTATCAGATTTTCTTCCAAGATGATCAGTATGCTGAAGAAGAACAGAAAGAGAGTTGTAGATATACCTGTATCTGGTTCCATGGTAAGACCGTTGTTCTCTTTCTTGAGCCATTCCAGAAATGAAATAGATTGGCTGTGAATGGCCTTCCTTCCTTCATTTCTCTTATTCTCATCAATCATCATCATGTTCCCAGATGTTTTGTCCCGCGCAAGTAAAATGCCAGTTTCTTCGAAAAGCTCTCTAAGCGCGGCTCTTCGGTAAACAATCGAGTCCTCATGTCGCTTGGGGTCTCCCTGAGGCGGGCATTCTCCATCTTGTAAATCGAGATTTCCTCCAGGAAAGACGTGGGCCGAGGGGAAAGATGACGAAGTCTTGGTACGTTGGAGTAGGAGAACTTCATTTATTGACGAGATGAGAATTACACTAAATATTTAAGAGGTCAGAGTTTCCTTCCCCAAGAAAAGTGAGACGGTTATGCAACGGTTTCAGACTCACCTTGCGCTGGGCGTTGCTTCGGGTGCGCTTTTTCCCTTGTCGTCTGTGCCGGCCTTAAGAGACATTATGAATTCTGATTTTATGAGGTCGGATAGAGATCTGAATACTGTGAGGAATATGGAAAGTTAATATATATTCCAGGAGTCCAGAGAGAGAACGCAAACCAGGATGTATTGTGTGTGGGAAGGGAGATGAGAAAAGGGAAGAGAGGAAACGAACTACAGGAAGGTGATATGCATCCTTAACTAGGTGTTAAGACCAGGGTCTTAGGGGGTTGGATGGATGGGAGTGATAACACGGCACAGCGTACTCCTGTACTGCTGCTGTCTGGATTGATGGTAATATAATCACTGGAGAGCTGTTATGCAGCTCTCCCGCCGTGCTACTTCTGTTGTGCGGCTTAGCTAAGCGGATCACCGGCATACCGGGTCAACCCTTCTCCGGCCCAACTCCGTTAGGGCCCTTCGCATGTAGAAGTATACTCCTCTGCCTATACTCTTGGGTTCTGGCCCCTCTCGTATAGGTCTTCCTAGACGTGTCGTAACACTAGGCCTGACTGGGACTAATCAGGCGACCAGGACCTCGGCCACGGTCGCAGCTAAGGGCGGTAACATCACCTTCCCGCTAAACCACCAAAAACCTGGAAATGGGCAAAACATGTTCGAATCAGCACTAGACTTCCGCAAAGCCCAACCCCCGGCCCATCATGGGCCCCCACTGGGCCCCCACGAAAGCCCATTTTTGCATAACTACTTGGTCTTGGCGCTCATAAAGTAGCTGAATCATCAAAACAAATGACCGTTTTTTACGCCTGTTCTGGTCCGTTCATGCAATTCTACCATTTCATCGCTTTATAAAGTGGGAATTTTTGAATATCTCTTGAAGTTGGAGTTATTACGCCTATCATTCTATTAATTACCAGTCAATTACAAAATTAGAAATTTATTAGTGGATTGACCAATATTCAACATAAACTTTAAGAAATATATAGGCTCGTTTACGGCAGCGGAGTTTTTTTTTTTTTTTTTTTTTTTTTGTATTCATTCATGGATCTGTCAGGCTTTTGGCCCGATTTGCCAGTAGGGCACTATAGGATAGCCGGAACAACTATATCACCAAGTGGTAATAACGCTAATCGGATGCAACTGTAGGCTATTTGGTAGGCGGATAGGGTGGGTGGGGGGGGGGGGGGGGGAAGGAAGGCAAATAGTGCAAACAGGTCCGCCAAGACCAAAATAGCCAAACAGTGCAAACACCAAAACCTCGGCACGCCCCTTCTCCGCGTACGCTCAACCTCTCTCCTTCACTTGCACCCCTTCAACGCGCCCGTCTTCGCTCGCCAGATCGTGTCTCGCAGTTTAACCTTACCCGTACTCACATACCGCTAACGCTGGTAGAAGCAAAGTGATCAGCTGACCGTGCGCAGGCCTGAGACGTCCCCGCAAGCATCTCCCATGGTGTTCGATCGTGTGTTATCCCTCCGTCTTCGAATAACGCAGTGGCCCCTAGGCGCCCGAAGGGCCTAGGAGATTAGTGGATCGGTGGTTTCTGGAGGCCCGTGGGCACTCCAAGGAATGAGTGGCCGCTACGCGGCTGCTATGGTGTGGTATGTCTCTGGTAGGTGGCGGAATTGGCCGAGAAGGCGTGTGGCTAGTATGAAGGAAGCTGCTTTAGGTGCGCGCTGCGGCAGCGGAGTAAGTGGTCACGCGCTGTGAGATTTTCGTTAAGAATAACCCCGAGGTATCGTAGAGAAGCCACCGGCTTGATTTCGATGCCCTGAATCGTGACAGAGCCTGTGAGGGCTGGGGTCTGTGGCTGGACGCCGTACGGGGGCAGCGCGCCAGCACCCCTCTTCCAGAAGTGAATAAGACCATATTTTGATGGAGAGAACTTAGATGCGTGCCGTTTCGCCCACGTCTCAGCAACAGCGTGTAGTTCGGAGAGAAGTAGACAATTGCGAGTAGGGGAAACGCCCCACACAAGGATGCAGATATCGTCGATATATCCTGTCACTAGCACCCGGCCAGGAGCAGCTGCGTGGATATCGTCGATCAGGTCTGAGTTGTAGAAAAGATACAAAATTGGTGATAGTGGTGAACCTTGTGGGATCCCGGTAGCAACCAGTTCGTTTGCACAGCGTCCTTCTTGCAGTAAGAGGGTTGTGCTTCGATTTGATAAGAAGCTAATCAGCCAGTTTGTGATAATCTCCGGGATGCGTCGCTTCCGTAGACAGTGGATCAGTCGTATATGCGAGACGTTATCGAAGGCCCCGCTACCGTCTAACGTGAGAAGCGAAGCGACCCGCCGGTCCTAACCCATGGGGGTAATTGTAGTCTACTAGACTACAATTAGGGTGGCCATTTTTACTATGGGGGAAAAAAAGTGGGTCGGGGTAGGATACATTAAAACTTTAAGAGTAGACTACAATTAGATCCCAAGGGCGTACGAATCTTAAATTTTAGTATGTTTTTAGTTCAAGATTAAAGCACCTTCTAACCCATGGGGGTAATTCCATTCTACTACGATGGAATTAGGGTGGACTTCTTTAGTATGGGGGAAAAAAAGTGGGTCGGGGTACGATGGAATATTATTTCAAGATAAGGATGGATTTACATTCTGGACTCGGACGGGGCTCAGATTTTGATATGTTTTTCGCCAGCCTCTAACCCATGGGGGTAATTCCATTCTACTACGATGGAATTAGGGTGGACTTCTTTAGTATGGGGGAAAAAAAGTGGGTCGGGGTACGATGGAATATTATTTCAAGATAAGGATGGATTTACATTCTGGACTCGGACGGGGCTCAGATTTTGATATGTTTTTCGCCAGCCTAACCCATGGGGGTAATTCCATTCTACTACGATGGAATTAGGGTGGACTTCTTTAGTATGGGGGGAAAAAAGTGGGTCGGGGTACGATGGAATATTATTTCAAGATAAGGATGGATTTACATTCTGGACTCGGACGGGGCTCAGATTTTGATATGTTTTTCGCCAGCCTCTATTTCATGGTCAAACCGAGATTCAGATCATTCGAAGCAGTGAAAATGGTTAAAACAGGGGTTGGAAATCAGGGAGTTTTTTTGATGGGGTGCCGACCGCGGGTTAGGGCGATACATCACCGTACAAGGATTATATGGGTTAGAAAGCTGAAAATTCAGGGATATGGATTTTGAGAGATGGGGTTTTGTGCACAAAAACCCAATAGAGGTGCCGACCGCGGGCTAGGGTGATACATCACCGTACGACCACCGCCACTAGATACCCAATAGGGTATAGGGGATCACATGGGTTAGAAAGCTGAAAATTCAGGGGGTCGATTGATTTGATTCAGCTTTATATTCAGTTCGTTCTTCAAGGCCAATTAACGAATTTTGCCCGTACGGTGTTGAAGTTGCGCATACGGATTTGCATAATCGCCCCAAGTGTGATATTTCCATTTCCAGTATGTCCGAAACCACCCCCCACAGTCCCCAGGCCAGCGAGTTTTTTTTCACCAATTCTGAGTTCAACGTGGTGATTTGCCACCAGTGTGAGCATGCCGTACGACGGGATAATATTACCACCCATTTAACCGGCACCAATCATCGGGTACCCCGTACAACCGCACGGTATATCGAGCAATGTGTCCAGCAGTGGGACCATATTGAGGACCAGCCCGATATCAGCCATTGGCCCACCCAGGTTGATAGCCCGATTCCCGGATTAACCATATTTGAAGATGGTTTATTATGTTCACGTTGTACAGTATATATTTGCCGCGATTTAAAGTCCATGAAAAACCATTGGTCCGAACAGCACCAGTGGTCCCCCAGTAGCCACCGTGGTCGACCGAAACCGTCCGAGATCGCGCAGATCCAGGCCGAGATCCACGCCAATAGCCAGGCCGTGAGATGCCAGCGGATTTTCAAGCGGCAATTAGGGTCGCATTTTATCCAGATCCGCCAGCCCGTTCCACCGCGGGCCGAACCGGTGCCACCCGTGGATGCCATCCACCAGTTGGTCCAGCGCGTCCGAGCATTCCAGGCCCAGCAGGCCCGCAGCCAGCAGACCGTGATCCAGGCCGGGGAGATCGACGAAGCCACGCCGTGGTTAAACCGTACGGGGTGGGTCCGGTATTTACAGGGCATTTCGTCCGCCCCGTTAGTGCAGTCCATGGAGCGGCCGGACGAGGATGCCGAGGGCCCCGAGGGTGCGGCATGGGCCATTTGGCAGGCCATGGAGCGATTGGCCATGGTCAGCCAGCAGATCACCCGGGCGAGTGGGTTTTTGGTGCGGATTGAGGCCGCCCGCACGCAGAAGGCCGATTCCCCGTACGAGCCGTTGTTGGCGTATATGAAAGAAGCGGAGATCAAGGACCATATTGAGCCGTGGCAGCGGATATTGATGTTTTTCACCCGCACCCAGCAGCCGCACGATTGGGAGAGTCCCCCGTACGAGTTCACCCCCGCACAGCAGCGGTCGTGGGAGATCGTATGGCGGCGTGCGCAGGCCGCGGGCCGGTCCAGCCCGGACCCCATGGACCCCGAGCCGTACGAGTTATCGCCGTTGGAGTGCGCGATTATGGATTTTTGCATCAATTTGTTACGCCAGCGGATCCGGCACCACGAGTATGGGTGTGCGTTTATATGCGCATCGGCCGTGTTGGGCCGGAAGTTGTCCGGATGGGATGGGGTGGAGGATTACCCCCCCAAGATATCCAGTTTGATCAAGATCGCCCGTTTTTTGGTATTGCATAAGGCGTTGCGGTTAGACCCCGATTCGTTGGCCATCCGGCGTGGGTTCGCGCAGGGCAGCCAGGAGCCCCATTTCCGTGGTGACGATATCCCCGTCGCGGACGGATATATATTTGACGGGGACGAGGGTTATGCCAGCAGCCCCGTCCGAGAGACGCCCACCCCCCGTCCCATGCCCGGATCCCCCACCACGTCCATTTTGGGACCCCCCACCCAGATCCAGGGTCGTCGGGTGATTCGTACGTTTCCCGAGTGGTTACGATTGATGGTGGATGCGTTTATGGTGCGTGGGACCCACGGGCCGGTCCAGTGGTTATTGGATTTACGCACGTACGGAAAGAAGGTGTTTTTCAACACCCCGTCCGAGGGGCATATCGGATGGAAAGGCGAGGATGAGTTGTTGTATAAGCAGTTGCATTTTACCATGGGTGATTTCCGTGGGATGGTCCACGGGTTGGTCGAGAGCATGCGGAACCAGTTTCACCAGCAGTTGATATTCGCCGAGGGTGCACAGATCCCCAGTATTGATTTACAGGATATATACGACGATCCCACGCAGCGGACGGCGGATTGGAGTTTTATCAAGGATTCCCGTACGCAGTGGCCCGTCCACGGGGCCGAGTGGTTGATCCAGCGGGTGGCCCAGGAGCCCACGTTCCGGCGGCGATTCAGCGAGCCGGACGGCCAGGGGTTCCGGATGCGTGCAATTGACCGGTATTTTGCCGAGGTGGCCCGGTTCCGCGAGCGGTTAAGCGTGGCGATCCATATCACGGCCGGCCAGCCCAGCCGTACGCCCGAGTTGTTGAGTATCCGGTACCGGAACAGCGAGCGAGAGATCCGCAACGTGTTTATCGAAGATGGGATGGTGGTATTTGTCAGCCGATATCACAAAGGGTTCCATATCACCAACGATACCAAGGTGATTCAGCGGTATTTGCCGCAGGAGGTTGGGGAGTTGGTCGTCCGATATATATGGTTGGTGTTGCCGTTTGTGGAGATATTGCAAGCATATCAGTGGCAGCAGCGAGGCACCCCCACCCCCCGCCGACAAGAGTATTTATGGGGCCCCGACGCCGGCAGCGAGAAGGCGTGGACGGGCGTACGATTCCGGAAGGCGTTGGAATCGGCCACGGCCGCGGGGTTGCACGGGCAGGCGGTCCACGTGTCGGCATACCGCGACATCGCCATCGCGATCAGCCGGCGGTATTTACGGGGCAAGAGCCAGTTTGAGAGTAACGTGCAGGAGGGCACGGGCGAGGCGGCCCCCCCGTACGACCCCGACGACGAGGGTGGGATGGACGAGGAGGAGTTTATGGGGCATATTGCGGATTTGCAAGCCACCCATTCGTCCCACGTGGCCGGGATGATGTACGGTCGTACGATCATGGAGCCCACCAACAGCACCACGCACCGGCGGCAGCGGTTCCGGCAGTCCAGCCAGGATTGGCATCAATTTTTAGGGTTTGCATCCGCCGTCCGCGCCGGGGTATGCGGTAAGCGTCCGAATCCGTGGGAGGATGATGCCGAGGAGAGCCGGACGCAGCGGCGGTATCAGTTACAGCAGGCCCATATGTTGCAGTCGTTCCAGCAGATGGTCGGACGGCCCGAGATGGTATTCCGTGGGGTGCAGGAGCCCGCGTTGCGGGCGATCCAGCAGGGGGTCAGCCCGGTCGTGGCGGTGATGCCCACCGGGGGGGGCAAGAGCATATTATTCATGTTACCCGCGTGGGTCGGGGGTGGATTGACGGTGGTGGTCGTCCCGTTGATCGCGTTACGCCAGGATATGGTCCAGCGGTGCGAGCAGTTGGGGATATCATGCGTGCCGTACGACCGCCAGCGGCCCCCGGACGAAGCGTCGATCGTGTTGGTCACCCCCGAGAGCACCCGCAGCCAGGGGTTCCGGACGTTTTTGAACCGGCAGCGGATGTTGCAGCGGTTGGAGCGGATCGTGATCGATGAGTGCCACGTCGTGTTGAATCATCAAGATGATTTCCGGCCCCAGTTGCAGATGATGGGGGAGTTGCGGGCCGCCAAGACGCAGATGGTCATGTTGACGGCCACGTTACCCCCGGCGGCCGAGCCCACGTTATTATACCGGATGGGGTGGCCCCGGGAGCAGGTGGCCATATACCGGGCCCGCACGCACCGGCCCAACGTGGCATACCGGGTATGGTGCCCGGAGGTGGAGGCGGGGTACGATCACCCATCCCAGTGGATCCAGATGGACGGGGTGATCCAGTTTATCCAGGAGCGGGTCCAGCGGGCCCACCCCGGACGGGTGATCGTATATGGGAGTATCGTGGCGCACGTCCGGATGATGGCGGACCAGTTAGGGTGTGACGCATATTTCAGCCAGCAGCACGATCAAGATGGGGTGTTAGCCCGGTTCCGTACGACGGCGGGGGCGGTGATCGTGGCCACCAACGCGTTAGGCATGGGGATCGACATTCCGGACATCCGCAGCGTGATCCATTTGGGGCAGCCCCGTACGATATTGGATTACGCGCAGGAGAGCGGGCGTGCGGGGCGTGACGGGTTGCCGAGTGAGGCGATCATCATTCAGCCGGAGGGGCAGCGGGTGGGATATCAGCAGCGTCCAGCATGGATGCCCGAGTCCGCGGAGGAGCAGCAGCGGGTGCAGCAGTATATGTTGCCGTTGGACGCGGGGGGTGGATGCCGGCGGGTGATATTAGATGAATATTTAGATGGGCATGTCCGGCCGGGGTGTACGGACGACGAATCGGCATGTGATGGGTGTGATCGGGGGTGGTATCCACGTGAGACGGATATCGGTGACGAGATGGAGAGCAGCACGCCGGACGGGCATACCAGGGTACCCAGAGTGCAGACGTCCGGGGAAGAGAGCCCCAGCGAGAGGTCCCGCGAGAGGTCCCGCGAGAGGTCCAGCGAGAGGTCCCACGAGAGGTCCCGCGAGAGGTCCAGCGAGAGGTCCCACGAGAGGTCCCGCGAGAGGTCCAGCGAGAGGTCCAGCGAGAGGTCCGGCGAGAGGTCCAGCGAGAGGTCCGGGGGAGAGAGCCCCAGCCCAGGGTCCACAGGAGAGAACGCAGGGCAGGGGTCCCGGGGAGAGGGCCCGTCCATCCCCATGGCCGTCCGACATGAGTTCCGGCGGCAGGACATCCAGCGGGCCCAGTTGTCCAGCCAACGACCCGAGGCCAGGCAGGACCAGATCCAGAGAGATATGTATTTCCAGAGTGAGATCGGACGGTGGTTGATGCGGTGTTGGTCGTGTGCGCAGGAGGGGAGGGATGACGGACATGAGTTATTTCGGTGTCCGTGGGGGTATAATATCGAGGCCAAGGCGTGGTGGAAGCGGATGCGTGCGTTTGATGGGATCCGTTACCAGGATTACAGCGCGCATTTCCGGTGTGGGATGCCGCAGTCGATATGCCCGCAGGGGGATCCCAGCAAAGCGATATCCCGGACGACGGAGGCGCAGCAGAGATGTGAGCAATACCGGCACACATTGTTACCGATGGTGGCGATGATGTTGTTCAGCCAGAAAACGCATGCGGAGATCCGTACGGCGTGGGATCGACGGTTACAGTATGTCGGGGTGGATAGTACGGATGAGGAGCAGTTAAAGCGGTATTTTGGGGGTATGGCAGAAGAGATTGCATGCCAGCAGTCCCGGTTAGTACAGGAGTTCATTTGGTGTCGAAGGATTTATCAGGGGCATGAAGTCGAGTAGATGGCGGAATCGGAATATATTATCATTCACGGGATCGGCGGATTTCCCGGAGGGTCGTTCAGTAGATATATATAATCAAGGTGGGTCGTTCGGCATTCAAGAGATAGGGTTTTGTGCACAAAAACGCAACAGAAGATAGGCATTGGAGAGATAGGGTTTCGTGCACAAAAAGCCAACAGAATGTAAAGACGTACGAGAGATAGGTTTTTGTGCACAAAAACGCAACAGAATATCAGATATGAGAGACAGGTTTTTGTGCACAAAAACGCAACAGAAGATAGGCATTCGAGAGATAGGTTTTTATGCATAAAAACGCAACAGAATATCAGATATTAGAAAGATAGGTTTTTGTGCACAAAGACGTAACAGAATATCAAGATCATCCCATATAGGTATCGAGAGTGTAGGGTGTTTAGGGGTATAGGGCCCAGTAGTATAGAGGGCCCAAGCGTGGTAAGGGTGATAGTGTGTAGCGTAGTAAGGGTAATAGTATAGGGAGTGGTAAGGGTGGTAGCGTACCAGGCATATCGGGTTAGAGAGTATAGGCGTACATATGGCGAGAGCACCGGCGTAGGTACAGGCGTTAGCACAGGCGTGAGTGTAGATAGCGTAGGCGTAGGCGTACGGGGCATAGGTATATAGATAGGCGTGGATGTAGGCGTGGATGTAGGCGTGGATGTAGGCGTGGATGTAGGCGTGGATGTAGGCGTGGATGTAGGCGTGGATGTAGGCGTGGGTGCAGAGGGCGTAGGTACAGAGAGCGTAGGCGTACGGAGTATAGAGCCCGGTAGTATAGAGAGCCCAAGCGTGGTCAGGGTGATAGCGTGGTCAGGGCGATAGCGTGGTCAGGGCGATAGCGTGGTCAGGGTGATAGCGTGGTCAGGGTGATAGCGTGGTCAGGGTGATAGCGTACGGGTGGTCAGGGTGATAGCGTACGGGTGATGAGGGTAATAGTAGTGAGGGTAATAGGGTATAGGCGTATGTATGCCGTGGGCATAGGCGTGGGCACAGGCGTGGGTGTAGAGAGTATAGACGTACGGGTGGCGAGGGCACAGGCGTAGGCATAGGCGTATAGGTACGGAGATCGTATATGTATAGATATAGAGAGCGTATGCGTATAGGTGTAGAGGCCCGTGGTATAGAGAGTATAAAGAGCAGGCGTAGGCGTAGGAGCAGAGGGCGAAGGTATAGGCGTGAGCGTAGGCGTACGGGGCATAGGCATATGTGTAGGCGTGGACGCAGGGGTGAGTGTAGGCGTAGGTGCACAGAGCGTAGGCGTACAGGGTAAAAGGGCATAGAGGCGCAGAGCGCAGAGCCCGGGGTGGCGAGTATATAGGGGATCATCGTTATCAGTATGGTCAGGGTAATGGAGAGAGGTCAGGGTTTTGGTAGTAAGAGATATGATTCAAGTAGAGAAAGCGTGATTTCGGCCGGAATAATTAAAGTATCAATACAATATATAGATCAATCGGGTAGAGGATAGAGATATCGTGCGAAGGAATATCGTGAGGATAATTATATATCGAGGTAGAGAGCGTAGAGCCCAGGGTAGCGAGGATAGAAGGGTGCATCACGAACGATCCGGATTTCGAAAGAAAGATATATCATTGATCGAGAGGATGATGTTCGCCCATACATCAGTGATATTGATAATATATATATTCATAAACCAGAGAGACGGTGGAAATGGAGATTTCAGTAGAAAAATATATAGTCGGGAGAATCCGATATCCCAATCGAGGGAGTATAGGTAGATAGAAATCGACAGCGTAGGGGTATAGAGTATATCGATATTCCGAGTAGAAGTGTGGTCCGGGTGATAGCGTATCGGGTGGTCAGGGGAAGAGAGAGAGAGGATGCATTCGGCCGGCATCCAGTTAGGATTGCGAATATATAGATCAATCGGGTAGAGGATGGCGATATAGGACCCAAAATATATTATCCGAGTCAGGGTCATATATTCGGGTATCAAGCATCAAGACGGAGAGAGCATAGGCGCATAGGTATTCATAGGGCGAAGGGATCGAGATTCCGAGTGTAGGGAGATGGAGGGTAGGGGTAGGATAGAGCGTAGGGGTAGTAAGGGTGATCGTGGTAAGGGTGATAGAGTACGGGTAGTAAGGGTAATAGTGGTAAGGGTAATAGCGGTAGGGGTAATAGTACGGTCCGGGTAATAGTATATAGGTAGTAGGGGTAGTAGTATACCAGGCATATAGGTATAGAGAGGATAGGCATAGGGACAGAGAGCGTAGGTGCAGAGATCGTAGGTACAGAGAGCGTAGGTGCAGAGAGCGTAGGCGTACGGAGCATAGGCATATATATAGGCGTCGGCATAGGCGTAGGTGCAGAGAGTATAGGTATATAGGTGCGGAGGGCATAGGTATGGGTATAGGCGTAGGTATAGAGAAAATAGACATACAGGTCCGGTAGATACCAGCGTAGGTATAGGCGTAGGTATAGGTATAAGTCAAGGCGTTCGTATAGGCGTAGAGCGTCGAGCGTAGGGTAGCGAGTATATTGGGATCAGGGTAGGATATTTCGTCAGGGTAGAAGAGAGGTCAGGGTTTTGGTAACAAGAGATATCATTCGAGTGGAGAAAGAGTGATTTCAGCAGGAATCATTCAAGTATCGATAATATATATGTTTATATATTCGAGAGCATAGAGATATCGAGATATAGATCCCAAAAATATAGTCAGGATAATTATATATAGAGGTAGAGAGAGTAGATATAGCGAGCACAGATATAGGCGATAGGATAGGCGTAAGTATAGAGAGGGTAGGTATTTAGATATAGAGAGTGTAGGTATAGGTATAGGCGTCGGGGTACGCGTAGGGGTAGGCGTAGATATACAGGGTATCGAGGCGTAGAGCGTAGAGCCCAGGGTGGCGAGGATATAGGGGTCGATAGAGAGAGATCAGGATTTCGATAGAAAGATATATAATGAGTAGAGAGAGAAGGATTTTGCAGCAATATGAGGAATATCGGTAATATATCGATTTATATTCAAGAGCGATAATGGACATTCAGATTTTAAAAGAAATATATATGGTAGGGAGAATGCAAGATTTGGGTGGAGGGAGTATAGATATACCGATATCGAAAGCGAAGGGGTATCAAGTATATCGATATCAATCATATCAGTATAGTCAGGATCATAGGGTATATAGTAGTAAGAGTAAGAGCGTACCAGGTAGTAAGGGGAAGAGAGAGGGAGGAAGATATTAGTCAGAATCGGGTTAGTATCGACAAGATATATATCAATCCGGTAGAGGCGTAGATATATTCGTCCGAAACGATATAAGAGGAGTAAGGGTAATTATATATTCAGGTATAGAGTATACAGACATAGAGAGGAGGGCGTAGGGGTAGGGAGAGGCGTAGGTATCGGGGTATAGGGTATAGATATAGATATACGTATAGGCGCAGGCGCAGGCGTCAGGATAGGGGTAGATATAGAGAGTATGGATATAGCGATACGGAGGGTATAGGGGTAGATATCGAGGTAAGTACGGGTATAGATATAGGGGTAGGCGTACAGGGTATAGAGGCGCAGAGGGGTGACGGCGGGGTATAGAGTATATCGGGGAAAATGGTTATCGGTATAGATAGGGTAATAGCGTATAGGGTAAGATAGGAGAGAGAGAGGAGAAGAGAGGGAGGAGAAGAGAGAGAGGATAAAGATAGAAAAGACGAGGGTATTCATAAGAAGAATATCAGGTGGTAAAAGATAGAAATAGTAGGAAGGATAGGGATATTAGGGAGAAGGAAGGAAAGTATAGTTAGGGTAAGAACGGGGTATATGGTGAGGGAGGTTAGTAAAAGTGGATAGGGTGAGAATAGCGTAGGTGGTGAGGGTGAGAATAGCGTAGGTGGTGAGGGTGAGAATGGCGTATGTGGATAGGGTGAGAATAGAGGGTGATGATAGTGTATGTGGTGAGGGTGATAATGGCGTACGTGGTGAGGGGGAAGGAGCAGAGATATGGAAATACGCGCGAGCGAAGCGAGTAGCGTATTTGATGAACGGTTATCGCGAATTAAGGACCCGGGTCAGGGTGGATTTAAGGCACCCGGTTAGGGTGGGTGGTTAGGGTGGTTAGGGTGGTTAGGTTAGGGTG